ATATATTTATTTTGTAATATATCCACTTGCCAATTCACCGCAGTACATATACTGTGACAGGGCAGTTCCTACAGGCACAGCAATGTACCTGTATGTCGCTGCCAGTTTCTGGGTTTCGGGCATGCGAGTGCCTCCTGCCCACCTACTTTCCCTTGATTTGACACAGCGGGAATTTGTCAGCAGATCCTGGCCAATGCTTCATGGCCGAGACCTGCTGATCAGGTGAGTCTAAAAAATCATGAAAATCAACACATGGCTCTATACAGAGGGAAAGATTGTGTTTGCTTCTTATCTCTGCAAAGCAGGGAAAATAAACAAATTGCTCTGTAGTAAAAATCAGCACATATTACACTTTGTTAGGCACACTATCACAGTCCTGTTATAAGTCACTAATTGCAACCATTAGTAGTATAAAAAATAAATCAATCAATCACAATTCCAGTATATATACCATAGTTTGCAGTAGCTATAACTTTCACGAAAACCATTTAATATACACTTATTGAGATTTTTTGCCAAAGACATGTGGCAAAAAATATTTTGGCCTAAATTTATGAAGAAAGGTAAAAAAAATTTTTTTTTTTCAAATTTTTCAGTCTTTTTTTCATTTATATAATAAAAAATTAAAAAAAAAAACCTAGTGGTGATCAAACCCACAAAAATAAAGCTCTCTCTGTGTTTTTTAAAAAAATTATATAAATTCCATTTGGGTATAGTGTTGCATGACTGTGCAATTGCCAGTTAGAATAGTGCCGAATAGCAAAAAATGGTCTGGTCATGATGGGGGTAAAATCTCCCTGAGCTCTGTTGCATATTTCAGACAAACATTTGGCACCTGCACATGCAGCCAGCAAAGGGAGCTCTTTTTCAGATTTTCTAGGCTCTCCTTTTCACTTCTGTATCAAATACCCGGTGTATACAGAGCTCAATATCTGAAACTAAAAATTAATTTACCCATTTGAATTAGTCTGGTCGCCATGCTGATTCAGTAGCTTCATTGCTAAATGTTCAAGAACAAGTACACCGGAAAAGAGTTCTGACTTCATTGGCGGCATGCTTGTTCCAGCCTCCTAAGCCCCATACTGGAGCTAACTATACTGTGCTGATGAAATACTAGAGTGCAGCTAATGCAAACCCCACCCTTTCCCACCACCTCAACCATTTTCCCTACTTTGCCCAGGACAGAAAAGAAAACTGCAGATCTTCTTCACACTTGTGCACTTTTGTTGCAGCTGCTGTAAATAATGCAGGTTAAACCACTAATGAGATAATACTATTATAGTCAATGACACCGTTTTATCTCTGCATTTGTATCCTGCAAGCAGCATTTTTGCTAGTGTAGCATCCTCCTAGTATAGGTGCTAGGTAAACTTAGTTTCGCCTGGTGGCGTCTTCAGGAAGTCACCGCCAGGCAGGGGCGGACTGACCATTTGGAAACTCTGGCACTGCCCGAGGGCCCGGGGTCAGTAGGGGGCCCCATGAGATGCCCCTGGTACCTTTTTCATAGGCTTTTTTGAGTTTGGTCAAGGACACAGGGGCCCCATGATCCCTTATTGCCCGGTGGCCCCATGAGTTGTCAGTCCGCCCCTGCCGCCAGGCGAAACATATGTAGAAGAAAACATGATACCCTCATATCCGGGCTCCGGTGATCACGTCCAGCTAGGACAGAGGCTTGGAATGCACATCGACCATCTTAATGTGAATATATAGGCAATATATGCTGGTGGCGGCTTCTTAGGCACTTTATCATGTGAGTGTATTCAGTTTGTTACTATTCCTACTCTTGGCATATTAAATACTACACTTAGATCGTCATTATTGTTGTGATTCTTTTCGAGTGTTATGGCATAGAAAGCCAGGATTATCTTTCCGAATCCATTCAACTATCCTTTGGGGAATTTATTGGAAACTATACATCAGTCCCTCTGGCTATCTAACCTGGAAGTACCGGTGTTGGTGATTATATGGGGAGGAACGTCCAGAGATTATCCTGATTTATAACACACACAATGTAATGGGGTCATATAGGTCTGGTGAGTGATCCATTCGTTTGCTTTTGCACTGAGGTGTGGACACATGGATTTCTATGTCACCAAATTTTGAGGTCTAAGAAGGACTGTCACAATTTGAATTTATCCAGCACTTGGCGGAAGCATAAGGACGTTTTATAAAATTAGGAATATCCAGTCACTTTATATTTCTTAATTTATTTGTGTTTGGTATGTGAATTGTTTGATATTCATTTGTTGGTATTTATTCACAAAACGCATTATTTAGTTAATATATGGGGAGTTTAAGGTGCATATATACACTTTATGCTACATATATTATTTTACTGTGATAGGTTCTCTTTAATGAGGCATTTAAGACATTAGGAAATTCAATAAAACCGCTGTACCACTTTTCAGGCATTAATTCACATTGTCAATGTATTGCAGAAAAATTAATGAAGCATTTGCAACACATTTGGTTCTGACAGAGACTAATGTACCAAATTCAAGTAGTTCTTACTGTAAATGTACTACTTTTAGATTGTGGTGCAATGAATGCGCCAAAGTAAAGAAAAAAAAACAACAGTTCATATCTTATGCAAGTGGAGTTAATAAAGGCCAACTCTCAGAGAAAATGGCGCAGACAGATTTTGTGAAAGTACAAGTTTTAGACAGGTACACGAATTGGCGCATGCTGCACCACTTTTAGAACACATTTAAGACACTTTCACAAAATGTGTCTGCGCCAGTCTTCATGAATTCCAAAGATTCTCCTTTATGAGACCCCTGTTGTCTCACCTGCCCACCATTGAAGCTAATGGAGCACAGGAGTCAGCCGTCATTGGGAGCCCACTGTCCCTGCTAGGTTATTGAAGCTGGTTCCCTGATGATGCACAGCGGTGCATGCATATTTACAGTGATTGCCCTAAAGCCTCCTGACATGGGCGAGGGTATCCCAGAAGGCTGTGGCTAGGGCTATATTATCTTGCTTAGATGAAAAAGGTGGAAGCCCTGGATGATCACCAAATAAATATTTGCATAAAAAAAACTGCTATTGTGTGAATGACTAGGGTGCAGACGGGACCTAACTGTATGTAGCATGAGCCTAGGTAGCTAGGGGAAGCTCTAGCTTCAATTGTTAGTTAGAGGCTGAGTAGCAGCCTGGGTGTGATAGCCAGGTGGGTCAAATTTCGGTCAGAGCTGAGAGGCTCTGCAGACCAGCTCTCTAGGATTTCCCTCTGCTCTAGAACTTAGAGAAAGTTCTAGAAGCAGTGGGCAGAGGTGAGAAGTGGCTGGTCTGTACTCTTAGAGGATCCTGGCCAATCCCCAACAGGAGACTTGGCAAGGGACCAGGGCAGCCTTTAACCTCCTTGGCGGTTTTCCCGAGTGTAGCTCGGGGTAGAATTTCTATACCAAGAACGGTAACCCCGAGCTACACTCGGGCTTACCATGCAGCGTTCTCTGGGGGTCCCTGCAGCACTTACCTTGTCCTTCGCTCCCACGATGGGTCCCCTGCAGCGTCCCCGGCCATCTCCTCCGGCGGATGCCAGCGTCTGGCTTCCGTGTTCCGGTCCCTGTGACGTCGGAACGTTTCGGCGCGGCGGAACCGGCGGGAAATTTGAAATTTTTTAAAAATGACATTTTTGCTGTCATTGCTTTTTCACTGCATTTCACATACATTTTGTCCCCACTGCTTTGTCCTGTGCCCTGCCTGCATTTTGAATGTTCTTTCTGCAGGAAACTTAGAAAAGTCCATGGCGTCCAAAAAGCGTCCCTTTACGTCAAAAGCGGTTTTAGAACAGCGATAGTAAATCAGAACCACTTGCAGAATTGAGTGATAATGATTTGTGGGGAAATTCGTCATCAGACACTGAAAACAATTTTGCGACTTTGCTCAGCGATGTGCGAATTTGCCTCTGTATTTCAAATTTCAGTGTTTTTGGTTTGATTATATTATTGAATTAAATGTATTATTATTATATTATTATTTTTTATGATTATTTATTAAATTATAATTTATGATTTCATGTTTCAAGTTTTATCATATCCGGAATGTTTAATAGACTCTTTTTCGGATAGGTTTCAGTGAGTTATTCCTAAAAATTACAGCCTACAATAAAAAACTACATATTTCCATGCAAAAAAATGGTACCGCTTTCAGCACAAAATTCCTGACATAATCATACCGCCAGGGAGGTTAAGAGTAACCGAGCCTGCTCAGCAGCAGAAGTGTTAGAGGATTGTTCGGGTGGAAGATGAGGATGTGAAGCTGGAGAGCAGAAGCCTGGGATCAGGCCCAGATGGCAGAGGGACTCACCTCCAGGCAGGAGGACCTTGGAAGGAGGAAATCTTGAGTCTTCACTGGTCCCCTAAGAGAGGACCACCTGTGAGGCAGGGAAGGAGTGGCCCAGCTAGAAGACCTTGTAGGAGCCACCGACCCACTGGTAACACAGGAGAAGTACTAAGTGAGTAAACCTGCACCCCCTGGGCCAGATAGGGGAAGGAGCACTCTGGTGGGAAACCAGATTAGCAACTACCCGGGACTGTCTTACTTTAACGTGGCAGGCACTAGATCTCCTGCTCAGGGATTTCCCACAGATAGCTGGATGAGAGGAGGATTCATCTGGGGTCTGGGGTAGTGCAACGTTGGCTATCTCTCTAAAAGAGACTGTTTGCTGTAAAAGCTTTTATATAATTCCAAGGAGTTGTCCCCAGTTTCACAGTTCCATTGGGCATCCTGTACACCTCTTTTCCCTATCCAAGTTCAATTCTTCTGCTAAAAACAAGCTCAGGAACTGGTTATTGCCTCCTGGATGCAAGTTGATGTGAAAATGTGTGTTTCCTGGCTGTGCAGGACTATAGGGGGACCCAAACTTCAGCAACACCTAAGGGGGTTGTGCTACATGTACTTCAGAATTGGAAGTCAACACATGTAGAGACTTACACATTGTTTATAGTGCAGGAATGGAATTATTACAGAAGTAATTCCATTTACAGCAATGGTACTATGTTGAAGTTTATTCATTTCTTCATGCAGAAGCAGGGGCGGACTGACCATTTGGAAACTCGGGCGCTGCCCGAGTACCCGGGGTTAGTAGGGGGCCCCATGAGATGCCCCTGGTACCATTTTTCATAGGCTTTTTTGAGTTTGGGCAAGGACACAGAGGTCCCATGATCCCTTATTGCCCGGGGGCCCCATGAGTTGTCAGTCCGCCACTGTGCAGAAGAGAGTAATGTTTCTCAATGAGGCACTTTCCAATAGTCATATAACATGCACTTAACACCACAGAATGCTGGAGAAGCACTTCCCTTGGAGGGGGTATGGTATTACTTGGTCAAACTATGAACCTCAAATGTACCTACAGATATCTGGCTGTCAGTGGGAGACTGTTCCCGAGAAACTGACAGAGGAGACACCCTGTAATGGGAAACATATTATTTCCCCTCTCGACAGGTACCCCTCCTTACTTACTTTCTCAATATTCAGTGAAGCCTCTGTCCCTTTATTACTCCCATAATGGAGGCACTCCGGAGGATGCAAAAAACAATCTCCTATTTAAGGTATTTTGTGTCAAAGGCCGCCCAAATTTTGCATAATTTTGGCATTAATACCATATGCTATTCTCCCCAGGATTGCCACCTGGAGCCCATAGCAGGGAACAAATTAATCTTCAATGGTCTTCTCCATGTAGGGTATGTGGGAGACACTCCCTCCATGTTTTCCTCCTCTTTGGGCAAAATGTATGGGTCACATAGGAGAACTACCCCGGGTGGGTTCTTCTGGGCTACGCTAGGTACCTGTAACAGGATCACTCTACTTTACACATGCGTACTTTTACTCTGTGCTGGTTTCATCAATGCCCTGGGACAAGGCTGAAGCCACTATCAACGAATACTCAACCTTAAGGCGGGCCTCCACTCTTAAGAGATGAACATACGCCATGTAGACTTACACCATAACTGTTCTCAGTTGACCCTTGGGTTTTCTTGACATTGTCGCTGGTTCGAATCCCAACCACTACACTGCCTGTCTGGAGTTTGCATATTCTCCCTGTGCCTGTGTGGGTTTCCCCTGGGTACTCCGGTTTCCTCCCACACTCCAAAAACATGCTGGTAGGTTAAGTGGATCCTGTGTAAATTGGCCATAGTATGTGTATGTATGAATGTGAGTTAGGGACCTTAGATTGTACAGCCCTTGAGTGTTAGGGACTGATGTGAATGTACAATATATATGTAAAGTGCTGAGTAAATGTATGGTGCTATATGCATACCTGTAATAAATAATAATAATTACATATAGAAAAAATCTAATTATTTGTATCATTGTGATCTCTTTTATGCATATATATAAAAAGAACTATAATGCATGCATTCCTTTTAAGACTTTTTTTTAATTTATTTGATCCCTCTTTAAAAGTCAAAACCCTGGAGTGTAAAGCAGATTGAATTCAGTAAAAATCAAAAAAAAAAAAAAAAAGAGTACATCTATCAATGGTGCATTAAAACAATGCTGACATAGAGGAACCTGATCCTTCACTTAGAGAAATCTCCACAGCTTGAATGGAAAAGACGAGGGAGGGGAGCATAGAGCATTCACTTGCTCAGGTTCCATCTTGCATTCTCCGAGTCTTTTATGTGTGATACAGCGATTACTTCAACAAAAGAATCATTTAAGAAAAGATAAATGTATAATGAGAGAGATAAATGAAGCAATGACATATTCTGTCCAGCAGCCACTGATGGAATCTGACATTCGTTAAAAGTGCATTATTGAAATAGATCACATTGCACTCCTCCATCGGACTGTATAGTCTGGGCGCTATTAATAATACGATGAATAAAAATATATTGCATGCGTATATTGGCATTTAGAGCTTGAAACCCAGTGCAGATGTTATTGGTGCCAGGCATGAATGTAAGTAAAAATGTGCATAGCCATTCCCAGTGGCGTCCCTAGGCAGGTGCGGGGGGTGAGCGCCACACCGTGTGACACCTATTGCACAGGGTGACACTGGACCCGCTCCGCGAAAAGGTAAGTTTTATAGCAAATTGATGATCTCCGCAGGATGGATCGGATCTGCGAATTGAACATAATGGATCAGAGTCCAATTCATTATGCTCCCCAATCCACAGATCCGATCCTTTCTGCGGGGATTGTCGGCTTGCTTTAAAACGTACTTTTTCGTGGAGCTCATGGAGAGATCAATTAACCCCGTATAGGTTGCAAGCCGACAATCCCCACAGGATGGATCGGATCTATGGATTGGGGAGCATAATGGATTGGACTCCGATCCATTATGCTCAATCCACAGATCCGATCCATCCTGCGGGGATCGTTTTAGGGGTGACACGAAGTGTTACCACACCATGTGACACCAACCCTAGGGACGCCCCTGGCCATTCCAATGTTCATTGTTTTTCCTAATCCTTAAAGTGATATTAAAGGCTCAGTTTTTCTTTCTTTAAAAACAACAAACAGGTTTATACTGCTCTGTGTTGTGGTTTTGCACAGAGCAGCCTTGAGCCTCCTCTTCTCAGGTCCTTCGCTGGCGCTCCTGGCCCCAGGGCGTGCTGTTTGCTATAGGGCAGGGATGTTGAATTAATATTCACTGTGGTCCAGTCAGTAAAATGTTTGCATGTTTGTACTATGAATCAGATCCTCCACATCACAGGCCCCCTCTCTTCTTAGGCTCCGTTCACACCTATGCAGTTTGCTTTTTGTGTTTTGCAGTGTTTCTTTCAGTTCTTTTTGCATTTTTCTACACTTGTTTTTACCACGTTTTGCATTTTGTTCAGCTTTTTTTTTTTCCTTTTAAAAAGGATTTTTTTTTGTTGCTGGGCAGAATAAAAAATACTAAATGCGGCAAAAACGCACATTTCAGCAGATTCTCCATTGAAATCTATTGCAGCAAAAATGGACTGTAATGCGTTTCTGCAAAAAGCAGTAAAAAACGCATTGGTATGAACGGAGCCTTAGGCTCCGTTGACATCTCTTTGCCTGAGGAACATGTGCAAAATCGAATGCGTTCCCGACTTACAGAGAAGTGCGCTGCACTGTAACAGATGCATGGGGGTGCCATTCATTCTTATTGGCACCCCCGCACATCCGCACCTACAGCACATTTTCGCGAGCACCGCGAACCACATTGTGCTGCAGCACCATGCAGCTTGATGTGGTGTGATTAAAAAAAGATGGGGGTTGGGACTTCTTACCCTGCATTTCTCACTTGAAGGCAGCCTATTAAAATGAATGTGCTGACCTACACACAACGTGCTCGCGCATGCACAGATCTGCATCGAGCCTCATATCACAATCCTATTCTTACATCAGCATCCTCAGTCCCCCTTTCACAACACATTATTCAATCACTTATTAAAAAGTGGAAAGTTCTGGGATCTCTTGATACCAAGCCAAGGTCAGGTAGACCAAGATAGAATGCAGCCACAACTGCCAGAAGTATTCTTCGGGATACCTCAGGAGAAATACAGGCTGCTCTGGAAAAAGATGGTGTGGTCGTTTCAAGGAGCACAATATGAGGATACTTGAACAAAAATGGTCAAGTTGTGAGAAAGAAGCCTTTACTGCGCCAATGCCACAAAAAAGCCCAGTTACAATATGCCCAATAACACCTTGACATGCCCCTCTTGGCTTTTTATGTGCCACAAAACAAATATTTTATAAATACCCTTAAAGTGTTACTAAACTCAGGACCCTGCATTCACTATATCTGGTCTCCCCGGACCCTAGCATTCACTGTATCTGGTCTCCCCGGACCCTGCATTCACTATATCTGGTCTCCCCGGACCCTGCATTCACTATATCTGGTCTCCCCGGACCCTACATTCATTATATCTGGTCTCCCCGGACCCTGCATTCACTATATCTGGTCTCCCCGGACCCTGCATTCACTATATCTGGTCTCCCCGGACCCTGCATTTACTATATCTGGTCTCCCCGGACCCTGCATTCACTATATCTGGTCTCCCCGGACCCTACATTCACTATATCTGGTCTCCCCGGACCCTACATTCACTATATCTGGTCTCCCCCGGACCCTGCATTCACTTATCAGGACGCTATATCTGGTCTCCCCGGACCCTACATTCACTATATCTGGTCTCCCCGGACCCTACATTTACTATATCTGGTCTCCCTGGACCCTACATTCACTATATCTGGTCTCCCCGGACCCTGCATTCACTATATTTGGTCTCCCCGGACCCTGCATTCACTATATCTGGTCTCCCCGGACCCTGCATTCACTATATCTGGTCTCCCCGGACCCTGCATTCACTATATCCGGTCTCCCCGGACCCTGCATTCACTATATTTGGTATCCCCGGACCCTGCATTCACTATATCTGGTCTCCCCGGACCCTGCATTCACTATATCCGGTCTCCCCAGGACCCTGCATTCACTATATCCGGTCTCCTCGGACCCTGCATTCACTATATCCGGTCTCCCCGGACCCTGCATTCACTATATCTGTCTCCCCGGACCCTGCATTCACTATATCCGGTCTCCCCGGACCCTGCATTCACTATATCTGGTCTCCCCGGACCCTGCATTCACTATATCCGGTCTCCCCGGACCCTGCATTCACTAAATCTGGTCTCCCCAGACCCTGCATTCACTATATTGGTCTCCCCGGACCCTGCATTCACTATATCTGGTCTCCCCGGACCCTGCATTCACTATATCTGGTCTCCCCGGACCCTGCATTCACTATATCCGGTCTCCCTGGACCCTGCATTCACTATATCCGGTCTCAAAGGACCCTGCATTCACTATATCCGGTCTCCCCGGACCCCCGCATTTACTATATCCGGTTTCCCTGGACCCTGCATTCACTATATCTGGTCTCCCCGGACCCTGCATTCACTATATCTGGTCTCCCCGGACCCTGCATTTACTATATCCTCCCAGGACCCTGCATTCACTATATCCGGTCTCCCCGGACCCTGCATTCACTATATCCGGTCTCCCCGGACCCTGCATTCACTATATCCGGTCTCCCCGGACCCTGCATTCACTATATCCGGTCTCCCCGGACCCTGCATTCACTATATCTGGTCTCCCCGGACCCTGCATTCACTATATTCGGACCCTGCATTCACTATATCTGGTCTCCCCGGACCCTGCATTCACTATATCTGGTCTCCCCGGACCCTGCATTCACTATATCCGGTCTCCCAGGACCCTGCATTCACTATATCCGGTCTCCCAGGACCCTGCATTCACTATATCCGGTCTCCCAGGACCCTGCATTCACTATATCCGGTCTCAAAGGACCCTGCATTCTCTATATCCGGTCTCCCCGGACCCCGCATTCACTATATCCGGTTTCCCTGGACCCTGCATTCACTATATCTGGTCTCCCCGGACCCTGCATTCACTATATCTGGTCCCCCGGACCCTGCATTCACTATATCCGGTCTCCCAGGATGCTGCATTCACTATATCCTGTCTCCCTGGACCCTGCATTCACTATATCCGGTCTCCCAGAACCCTGCATTCACTATATCCGGTCTCCCCGGACCCTGCATTCACTATATCCGGTTTCCCTGCATTCACTATATCTGGTCTCCCCAGACCCTGCATTCACTATATCCGGTTTCCCTGGACCCTGCTTCATATCTGGTCTCCCCAGACCCTGCATTCACTATATCTGGTCTCCCCGGACCCTGCATTCACTATATCCGGTCTCCTCGGACCCTGCATTCCCTATATCCGGTCTCCTCGGACCCTGCATTCACTATATCCGGTCTCCCCGGACCCTGCATTCACTATATCCGGTCTCCCCAGGACCCTGCATTCACTATATCCGGTCTCCCCGGACCCTGCATTCACTATATCTGGTCTCCCCGGACCCTGCATTCACTATATCTGTCCCCGGACCTTGCATTCACTATATCTGGTCTCCCCGGACCCTGCATTCACTATATCCGGTCTCCCTGGACCCTGCATTCACTATATCCGGTCTCAAAGGACCCTGCATTCACTATATCCGGTCTCCCCGGACCCCGCATTCACTATATCCGGTTTCCCTGGACCCTGCATTCACTATATCATGGTCTCCCCGGACCCTGCATTCACTATATCTGGTCTCCCCGGACCCTGCATTCACTATATCCGGTCTCCCAGGATGCTGCATTCACTATATCCTGTCTCCCTGGACCCTGCATTCACTATATCCGGTCTCCCAGAACCCTGCATTCACTATATCCGGTCTCCCCGGACCCTGCATTCACTATATCCGGTTTCTCTGGACCCTGCATTCACTATATCTGGTCTCCCCGGACCCTGCATTCACTATATCTGGTCTCCCCGGACCCTGCATTCACTATATCTGGTCTCCCACAGTACACAGAACATAGAAATGCAATTATTTTAGTAAATATAAACTGCTCATCAGCAGTTAGAGCAGTCTTGTGACTTCTATCAGTGTCCAGCAGAGCATAGGTTACAGCTTGTAGGAGGAGTTTTCTTTCTGCTATAAGAGGATGCAGAACCCCTGACCTCTTTCTGGACAGTGCTGATTGGCACTGTGCTGATCACATGCACTCTCCCAAGAAAAAAAAAACAAACTCTCCAGCAATACACACCAAACTGAGCAGGTGCAGAGTGACTCCACACAATATGTCTTATCAGGAAATAATAGGGGGACACTGGAAGAAGGGGAGGATCAGAGAAGTCAGGATCAAACATTTTTTACACAATGCAGAGGATTAAACCCTTAGTTTCCACCATGAGTATAACAAGCATGCTTTACTGCATATACAGACTGATTTAAACACTTTAAATATAACCCCATACCTAGCCCTGAAAATGACCCCTTAACACTGTACCCTAACACCTACAGTAAGCTGTACTCAAGGCACTCAGGTAAACACAAGCATGACATACATAAAAGGGTGCATTTGCCAAATTTATTGGTATTTACGAAACGTTATATTATCAACGTTATGGTATAATAAGACCTCCCTAAACCATCAAACACTTTGGGGGAGATTTACTAAAACTGGAGCACTCAGAATCTGGTGCACCTCTGCATGGCAGCCAATCAGCTTCTATCCTCAGCTTGTACAGTTAAGCTTTGACAATGAAACATGGAAGTTGATCAGGTTGTATACAGAGTTGCACCAGATTTTGCATTCTCTGGTTTTAGTAAATAACTAGAGATGAGCGAATCGAACTTGGCTAAGTGGAATTCGTTTCGAATATTAGGAAGAATCCGAAAATTAGCATACTTCGGATGCGGGAATCGAAATTTTTCTCCAAAAATGGCGGCGACATGTGTGGCGACGGAGGGGGGATCTCTGGGAAGGCGCGCAGACAAGGCGCGCTGACCCATAATGCATTCATTCATGACATGTGATCGCATTAGCCAATCAGCAGCCAGCCAGCCAGCACTGTGTAATGGTGGAGCTATAAATTGCGGCCATCTTACAATTCTCCATTTGCCTCCGGTCATTCAAGAGAGACAGACCTCTCTGTATTAGGGACAGAGTTAGGGCCACAGATACTTTAGGGACACAGAATCGTTACTTAGGGACACAGAATTGTTACTCAGGGACACAGAACTGTTACTCAGGGACAGACACAGAATTGTTACTGAGGGACACAGAATTGTTACTGAGGGACACAGAATTGTTACTGAGGGACACAGAATTGATATTCAGGGACACAGAACTGTTACTCAGGGACACAGAACTGTTACTCAGGGACAGACACAGAATTGTTACTGAGGGACACAGAATTGTTACTGAGGGACACAGAATTGTTACTGAGGGACACAGAAATTGTTACTCAGGGACAGACACAGAATTGTTACTGAGGGACACAGAACTGTTACTCAGGGACACAGAACTGTTACTCAGGAACACAGAACTGTTACTCAGGGACACAGAACTGTTACTCAGGGACACAGAATTGTTACTCAGGGACAGACACAGAATTGTTACTGAGGGACACAGAATTGTTACTCAGGGACAGACACAGAATTGTTACTGAGGGACACAGAATTGTTACTGAGGGACACAGAATTGTTACTGAGGGACACAGAATTGTTACTCAGGGACACAGAACTGTTACTCAGGGACACAGAATTGTTACTCAGGGACAGACACAGAATTGTTACTGAGGGACACAGAATTGTTACTCAGGGACAGACACAGAATTGTTACTGAGGGACACAGAATTGTTACTGAGGGACACAGAATTGTTACTCAGGGACACAGAATTGTTACTCAGGGACACAGAATTGTTACTCAAGGACACAGAATTGTTACTGAGGGACACAGAATCGTTACTCAGGGACACAGAATTGTTACTCAGGGACACAGAATTGTTACTCAGGGACACAGAATTGTTACTGAGGGACACAGAATTGTTACTCAGGGACAGACACAGAATTGTTACTGAGGGACACAGAATTGTTACTGAGGGACACAGAATTGTTACTCAGGGACACAGAATTGTTACTGAGGGACACAGAATTGTTACTCAGGGACACAGAACTGTTACTCAGGGACACAGAATTGTTACTCATGGACACAGAACTGTTACTCAGGGACACAGAATTGTTACTCAGGGACAGACACAGAATTGTTACTGAGGGACACAGAACTGTTACTCAGGGACACAGAACTGTTACTCAGGGACAGAACTGTTACTCAGGGACACAGAATTGTTACTCAGGGACAGACACAGAATTGTTACTGAGGGACACAGAATTGTTACTGAGGGACACAGAATTGTTACTGAGGGACACAGAATTGTTACTCAGGGACAGACACAGAATTGTTACTGAGGGACACAGAATTGTTACTGAGGGACACAGAATTGTTACTGAGGGACACAGAATTGTTACTCAGGGACACAGAACTGTTACTCAGGGACACAGAATTGTTACTCAGGGACAGACATAGAATTGTAACTGAGGGACACAGAATTGTTACTCAGGGACAGACACAGAATTGTTACTGAGGGACACAGAATTGTTACTGAGGGACACAGAATTGTTACTCAGGGACACAGAATTGTTACTCAGGGACACAGAATTGTTACTCAAGGACACAGAATTGTTACTGAGGGACACAGAATCGTTACTCAGGGACACAGAATTGTTACTCAGGGACACAGAATTGTTACTGAGAGACACAGAATTGTTACTCAGGGACAGACACAGAATTGTTACTGAGGGACACAGAATTGTTACTGAGGGACACAGAATTGTTACTCAGGGACACAGAACTGTTACTCAGGGACACAGAATTGTTACTCAGGGACACAGAACTGTTACTCAGGGACACAGAATTGTTACTCAGGGACAGACACAGAATTGTTACTGAGGGACACAGAATTGTTACTGAGGGACACAGAATTGTTACTGAGGGACACAGAATTGTTACTCAGGGACACAGAATTGTTACTGAGGGACACAGAATTGTTACTGAGGGACACAGAATTGTTACTGAGGGACACAGAATTGTTACTCAGGGACACAGAATTGTTACTCAGGGACAGACACAGAATTGTTACTAAGGGACACAGAATTGTTACTGAGGGACACAGAATTGTTACTGAGGGACACAGAATTGTTACTCAGGGACACAGAATTGTTACTCAGGGACACAGAACTGTTACTCAGGGACACAGAATTGTTACTCAGGGACAGACACAGAATTGTTACTGAGGGACACAGAATTGTTACTGAGGGACACAGAATTGTTACTCAGGGACAGACACAGAATTGTTACTGAGGGACACAGAATTATTACTGAGGGACACAGAATTGTTACTCAGGGACACTGAATTGTTACTCAGGGACACAGAACTGTCACTCAGGGACACAGAATTGTTACTCAGGGACACAGAACTGTTACTCAGGGACACAGAATTGTTACTCAGGGACAGACACAGAATTGTTACTGAGGGACACAGAATTGTTACTCAGGGACACAGAATTGTTACTCAGGGACACACAATTGTTACTGAGGGACACAGCATCGTTACTCAGGGACACAGAATTGTTACAGGGACACAGAATTGTTACTGAGGGACACAGAATTGTTACTGAGGGACACAGAATTGTTACTCAGGGACACAGAACTGTTACTCAGGGACACAGAACTGTTACTCAGGGACACAGAATTGTTACTTACTGAATTGGGGACACAGAAATGTTACTCAGGACAGACACAGAATTGTTACTGAGGGACACAGAATTGTTACTGAGGGACACAGAATTGTTACTCAGGGACACAGAATCGTTGAATTAAAGAGTATGTCAGACAACACGCAGAGGAGTGTCAGAGGAGGCCATGTTTTAGGAGCGAGCAGACGTGGCAGCAGAGGAAGGGGTCGAGGCAGCACTAGTCGCAGCCAGAGGCCAGTGCTCCGGTGTCATCCAGCGGTCATGTCTCCACCGACAACCCTGCCGTCATCGATTGGTTGACTCGGTCGTCTTCCTCTTCCCAGGTCACCTCTGGCACCTACAGCCAACGGTCGGTGGGTACGTCAGACACAACCGTTAGTTGGCATGGCCCGGGAGCAAGCCCACTGAAATCACGTGTCCTCTACCTGCCCCTGTCCTTTGGTGTTCCCTCACCAAGCGAAGTATCGCATGCTGTGGGCTCAGCCCCACTGTACAGTGAGGAAGAGCTAACAGAGGGCGGTCAGGAACGGGGGGAGACACATCCGCCTCTTCAGCAGCCAGGCGAAGAAGTACTGGCGAGGAGAGTGGCTCGGTAGCCGGTCTAGAGACAGGTCTGTCTCCTGACCCACACGCAGCCGAGGGGGCTAGTAGTGAGGCGGAGACCCTAATTGATGATGATGAGGCTGATCGCACTTGGCA